ACATGGGGAGGATATGGTACTTAACTGTCTAGGATTGCAGTTAGCACATAGTAAGGAAAGAAAATTACTGGGACTGCAACTAGAAACCTCAGCAGCAGGAGTAAGTCCCACTAAACTCAATGGGACATCTTGGTAGACATACAAACATTATGCAGGATGGCACCAAATTGTATTGTAAATCAAAGTCATTTCTAGATTTAAGATTTATAAAATTTCTTCTCACCTTTCCATAGCCAGTTAACAAGTGCTGATTCTAGTTTGTTAGGCCAAAAGAAAAAGGAAGATTAATTCTAAATAAATTAATCTATAACAAATTGTCTAGATGAATTGAGGATTTTTTTTAAAAGTATATTTCTGATTTGTTTTAGTCAAGGTACATGAAAACAAAAGAGTTGTGATTTGAGGGTTGAATTAGGACTCTGTGAGACCAGGGTGGGCTATGAAACCCCATCTGGAGAACATGGGCAAGTCACACAGGGGCAACCCCATCTGAACAAAGCTTGCCACGAAAACCCCATCATTGGTTCACTTTAGAGTCATCCGTAATTATCAGAAGACACCCAACAACAGTAACATATAAACAACTTTGTTGCATGTTATACATACATACACAGAGAGAGAGAGAGAGAGAGAGAGAGAGAGAGAGCAAAAGGAAACTTTTCAAACTAGTGAAGCATTTTAGAAAGACAAAAATCACAAAGCACAGAAAGTTTTGTATGTGTAACATATCTGCTTTTTTGTCTGATGACAACAGGATGCCCAAAAGCCAGAGCACAATGCAAGCTATGACTGCATGTTTTTCTTTCCTCAATCTTGTGCTGAAAGCAATAGCTCATCTAGAAAGAAAGCCCAGGAACTATGCTTTAGCTTGGATTCCTGTGCCTGGATTCCTACTTGAATACTCCCTTGCAAGTCTGTTTAGCACTGCAGCATTAAACTGGCCTTCAATCAAAGAACCAACACCAGAGTCACACCAAGTGCTGTAAGAGATGGGAGCAACTATCTTAAGAGCTGAAAGAAAGCCTACAAATGAAGCAACATGCAGAGATTCTTTCTCTTGTCATACTGGTTCTGCTCCATCCTCTCTAAGGATTACTTCAGAGTTACTGCAGAACTTTCTCTTACAATCATTAAAAACAATACAAGATGAACATGTTGTTTGAGAAACCCATGCCAAGATGTCCTTAGCTGTGTAATCAAATCAGTTTTTATTTCTCAAGCAAATTAAAAGAAACACGTTGTAGGTAGTCCCTGCTACCCTCACACACATACTAGCACTTTTTGTCCATGAGAACCAGGCAATTTTGATTTATGCTTCACAAGAAAGAGGTCTGAGTCAACTATGTGCAAAAGGCATTCCTATCTTTTACTCCTAAATCACTTTGTACTACCAGACTGATTTATTCCAGAGTGATTACACCCCAATTAGTTGAGCAAAGAGCTTACTTCTAAGGAGGTAGGCTTAGGATAATAGGTCCAAGCATCTTATCTGAGCCTGGCTTTGTGAAAATTTTTAGTATTCTAGTTTCAAGTAAAGGCATTGTGTTTAACTAAGGATGTGATGGCATACTGGAGCAGGTCAACAAAAGTCTCTTGTGCTAGGGTGAAAAAATTCTTAAATCCTGAAAGAATGTAAAAATGAATTCTCACCCCCCCCCAAAAAAAATATTAATTCACCTCTTAATCAACCTGTTTAGTAAAATCATTATGGTACAAATTACATTGCTTTTGCTTGAGAGTGCTAAGCAAAGCTTGATTTGAGTTGGGAACTTGATCTCAGTGCTTCTGTGCCTAAGTTTTATTAACACATCTAGCTATGCCTTAATATCTCCACCTAATGGAAGCCTACCAATGTCTCAGGCCTACCAACTTTTATTCCAAAAGGATACGTTCTGAGTTGTTATTTGTATTGTGAGGGGAGGGGAGCTAGAAAAAACAAGATGCTTCAGTGCTTCATTTCAAATAGGGGAAGGACCTAGTGGCATCAACCTCAGAAACCACTTCTGAGTCCTGGAACCACAATTTGGCCATGACTATTTTGTGCTTGAATGCTGGCCAGAGGAGACTGAGCACATGTAGAGTGCATTTGGAGTGACAGAAGGGCTTTTAGGACAGAGAAGCTGCTACCAGCATACTTGAACATTGGATGCAATACACAGAAGAATCAGACAAAAGAGATGACAAAATGAAGGACACATGGAATGAAGAGCCATA